ATCGTTGCGCTTATCAAAGCCCCAAAGTCGCACGGAGCTGTAGCCGTCGAATCTCCCGTTCTTGCCAACCAACTCGCTTCTCCTTAAAGCTTTCTTGCCTTCGAATTCACCCGAATACTGTCGAGAAACTATCCACAGCGGACTCTCTGCGCGTGGAGATAATCGTCGCATATAGGCCGCCACACAAGACCGATACTTGAATAATTGGGAAGTGTTGAGCCAGCAGCCGCGGATAGTTCGGCGAAAATAGAATATCTCAGTGTACGTACAAATTTCCCGACGCCTCTCGCTGCTGCTGCAGGAATAAACTCGGTGGAAGCGTGTCTAATCTTACGCTGCCGATATAGCAACTCTACCCCTCCGCTTGTCAGACGTTTTCTTTGTTCCCGAGTGTAAGTGACTTCATCTTATTCCGAATTTTGAATGGCGGCACTGCTTCCCCCACTTAGAGTCAGATCTGCACCTGATACATGTTTCGAGTGTAACCCACTTGACTGGTCATTCCTCGCAGCCTGAGCGCATCCCTGATTCAATTTCAGACCTGACAGTCTTTGCGCGCATCTTTGGATGGATTTTCGGAGTCACTTTATTAACACAACGGAAACAGATACTTCTTTTCACATTTGTCAGGAATCAATTATACTATCGCAAAATGGGTTGTATGAGTTCGAAGCCCGTAGATGCGGGAGATAAAGAAGCTCTCCAACGGAATGTGAGGATAGAGAAGGCGCTCAAAAATGACAAGAAAGTGATGGACAGAACGATCAAAATTCTTCTCCTTGGTAAGCCTGCGCTTTGGCATACGCCGATGCTTGGTTTGTTCTTCGCACTGACCAGATCTATTCAGGTGCGGGAGAATCCGGCAAGTCAACAATCATCAAACAGATGCGCATCATCCACTCGGGAGGATTTCCTGAAGACGAACGAATTCAGACTCGGGCGGTAATCTACTCGAACCTGATTATTGCCTTCAAAGTTCTATTGGAAATTATGCGTACAGAGAGCATTGATTATCAACTTGAAACAACTAAGGTAAGTTAGCCTTCAAACCGATGGAAGTTATTATCCAGGTCCACTGCTTGGATCTGATGGTCCAGAAACTGATTATTAAACTCATCGGCTTAGTCGCTGGGTGAATTTATTGACAATTTGGAGCCGGATGTGGGCTCCGATGAAGCATTCTCGGATTTGAAAGTTCGTGATGCTTTGAGGGATATTTGGGACGATTCAGGCGTTCAGAAGGCAGTGGCTCGAGGACATGAATTTGCGCTTCATGATAACCTACACTAGTAAGTGGCGAATGACGGCTTAGCCTAAGCGACTCAACTAACCTTCTTTCCAGCTTTTTCGAATCTCTTGACCGGATATTTACTCCCGGTTGGCTCCCCGACAATCAGGACATGCTACAAGCTCGGTTGCGAACGACAGGAATAACGGAAACTCTCTTCGAACTCGGTCAGATGAACTTTCGGATGATGGATGTTGGCGGACAACGATCCGAGCGCAAGAAATGGATTCACTGCTTCGAGGGTGTGCAATGCCTCTTGTTCATGGTTGCCTTATCAGGATACGATCAATGTCTTGTTGAGGATCAGAATGCCGTAAGTCATGGTCTCATTTTGTATGATCTAGTGCCATCTAACCATTTTGTGCGCACAGAACCAAATGCATGAGGCAATGATGCTGTTTGAATCACTTGTGAATGGCGAGTGGTTCAAGCGCAAGCCCATCATTCTCTTCTTGAACAAGATTGATCTCTTCAAGGGGAAACTTCAAGTTTCGCCTGTCTCTAATCATTTCCCCGACTACAACGGTTCGAACACCGACTTCGATGCTGCAGCAAGATACTTCGCCGACCGCTTCCGAGGCATCAATCGGATTCCAGACCGCGAGATTTACATCCACTATACAAACGCCACCGATACCACTTTATTGAAAGCTACCATGGATTCCGTGCAAGACATGATAATCCAGAAGAATCTCCACACCTTAATACTCTAAGGTATCACTAGGCATGACTAATATCTAATGAAACATTCTTGCGGCCGTGGGATCTCCATCTCCCACTAAATATTATTGATATTACCTTAGCAGCATTACTTGTGCTGTCCGCAACTGCTCGACGCCATTCTCTTCCCTTGTCATTCTCAGGATCGTCCTTGGCTCGCTTGGATGACTTTCTTATCACCACGCTCTTCTCTACTGAAAAAAGCACGCATCTCATCTTCGATTCAGCGGCGTGAATCTCCTTTCTAATGCAGATTGATACCATATACCACATACTTGTGTCTGTGTCTGCGTCCTTAGCAACACCTTACGATTTCGTTTGGCCTTTATTTCCAATGCTTGGCCTCTCATTGGGTCTATCGGTTCCATCTCTTTCTTCAATGTATCTACTTCATTCTCCTATTCAGTGTTACATAAAGGACAACATTTGTTTGTCGAGTTGACGGCAATCATGCACGTCTTCCAAATTTTAGATCACTCGAAGACCTACAGTTGTAGTATGTCCTATCTTGGAACGATCCAAGTTTGCGTGGCAATTATTGTAACATGCGCATTGCCAATAGACCCATTGCCAAACTGCTAAGGTTTCCTTTGTGTGGTGGTGCGAACAACGCAGCTCACCTGAGCCCCCTTGGTGGGAAGCAACAACTTACATGGTTACTACCGCCAGAGATACGGAGATCACAGAGGCTGGGCATTGTAGCCATTTAGTTCAGATTGAGTGTGTCAGGTCAAAGGTGGCAGAATCTGTTCCCTACCTCGAGATCATACAAGCCTTGATATCACATGACCTGCCACACTATCCCGCAAATCTCTGCTGAGCTAAGCAGAGATCCGCATGATCGGCTCATCAACTTCAACTTCGGTTTCGCCTCTTTCGCATCCGCCAAGTTCGTTTACCCAGCTTCTGGGACCTTACGACGCTTTGGAAACCAGAAAAATGCTTTCTTCCTCGCTGCGCCGGGCGGCCTGGGCCCCCATTGCCCCTATCTCAGGCGTCACTCGCGCCTCAAGCCAAACTCTCACCACCTCCGCGAACAATCTCACCGGCTCAACGCAGCCTGTGCGTCAACGGCGCTACTCCTCCTCCTCGTCCTCGAATTCTAGCGATGGCGCAAGGAAGCTGGAGTTGGAAGTGAACTCAGGGAAGTCGACCCGTCGGAGTCGTAAGGACAATGTCCGCACGGGCTCCAACAAGCAGCAGCAGACGGCATTTTCCCGACTTCCCAGCGTTCCCTCGACCCAGCACCTCCTCCCGCATGGTAAGCCAGCCAGCCAGCTCGAACAGATTTTCCCCTTTCCAAAAGACAAAGTGCGACATTGGGGGGAAAGCAACGTGACAAGCTCCCGAAGCCGAACTCCAGCTGCTGACACATTTTTTCTTCTCTTCCATGCAGATGTCCAGGTCGCTTCCTTCTTCTCCATCCACCGTCCCATCTCCGTCTCCACCAGCGTGCCCCCGACTTCCACCTCCGAAGCCTTCGACGCCATTTTTACCGAGCGCAAGCCCGCCGTCGACGATGTGATCTCCACGCTCTCGTCCGCCGTCCACTCCATGGAAGGCGAGGACGACCACAACCACTACCAGGCCGTGCTGCAGGAATTGACCGACCGCAATTTCCTCCAGCAGGGCCAGCAGGGCCAGCAACCTTCTCAAACCATGAACCTGACCCTCTCCATCGAGGAACTCACCAAGCGCCTGCGGCCCTTCCACCCTCCTCCACCCCCGGTCCCCATGAACGAGATGTCCGCCAACAACAACAACAACAACACCACCAACGAGCAGCAGCTCCTCCCCCCAACGACGACGACGGGTAACCACCACAACAACACGACGGAAACCTACTCCGCCGTCCTGACCATCCACGAGTCCACCCTTCCCGATGGCCGCAAGACCTACCAGGCCCACGCCGGCCCCTTCATGCCCACCAAGGACATGGGCGTCCCCGGGGCTGCGCAGGCGCCGCCGGAGATCGTCGAGGCCTACATCGATGTCGTGGACCCCTCCGCCCACCCGGAGCTCAGCTACATCGACCAGCAGGATCAGCAGATCAACGGCCCCATGCAGGCCATCAGCACAAAGAGACGTCGCCGGTTGAAGATGAAGAAGCACAAGTTCAAGAAGTTGTTGCGGAAGACGAGAACCTTGAGGCGGAAGTTGGAGAAGTCTTAAGAAGCTTTTTTTTCGTCCTTCTCCGAACCCAAGATATGTGCTTTCTTTTTGCTCTTTTTTTGTCTCGTTGCTTTGTGATGATGAATCCGGTTTCCCTTTTTCCGGTTTTTTTTTCCCCCTCCTCCCAACAACTTTTCGAAAGCAACGTTGACCTCTGGTTTCTCTGGATATCTTCCGTTTTCCTTGCTTGACTTGCATGCATCTTATCTCTATCTCCCTCCCCATCAACCGACCTACTAGTCAACCAATTCAACCGACACTTATAGACAATACTATGTGACATATTATCATTATTCTCAGTTCTCGGCTGGTTAGGTTCGTGTAATCGTATGTGCGTATGTGCATGCCCACTCTTTCCAGGAGGTTTATCTATACTCGTAAGCCGATGCGCATGCACCATACCTGGAAATATTTGCCAGGGCCTTGTTTCTCCCCTTCTCCCAGCTCAGATCGATTTCAGTGTCAGGATCAATTGATTCAACAAGTACCGACATGACACCCATAGAGTACAGGAAGCAAACAGTAAGCATGTAAGCAACGCAAAAAATAAAACACAAAAAAAGAAAACCTTTAGCCATGCAATAGTAAATTCAAATATCTACCAACCAGTCAAACATCGCCCCCTTCGCCACTTCCTCCCACTAATAGTAGTCTACACTGGCATATAATCTCCTTCTCCTGCTCCAAGGGACGCGAAGAAATGGAAAAGGAGGGAGATTGATATACCTATCCAATAGCCGTCCCTTTTCTCAACTCACAGACCCTGCAAGCGGATCAACTTGTCTCTCCACCACTTGTCGGTAACGTAAATCTTAGGGAATGTTTCCGACAACCAAGACACACACACACACATCACGTTAAAAGATCATGTTTTCTTGAGAATGGATTTCTGGACCAAATCCGCGCTTCACGGTATAAACGATTCGTAACATGGGGAACACTAGGCTTCAACGACGGGGCACCGCTCGCGCGGGTTCTTGTTCACATCTCGTCGTTGCCATCGCCGGTGCGCGCACGAGTCTCACAGAGAACGTGCGGGCGAGCGAGCATTAGGAACGTTCGCTTAGCAGACGGCGTCAATTCTCGAGCGGGAGTTCATGAGAAGGGCGACGATAAGACCGTACAGACCTGATAAGAGGATCGGTGGTTAGTGGTGCCGAAGTAGACACATTATAGATATGGTGGACGTACCCAAAACTTCAGCGAAAATGAGAATCAAAATCATTCCAACGTAGAGACGGGGCTGTTGAGCAGTTCCACGGACACCAGCGTCACCCACAATACCAATGGCAAAACTTTAAGATAAATAGTCAGCTTCTCGGCTCGAAATCGTAGTAAAGCTCAAAGAACATACCCAGCAGCCAGACCGGCCAGACCGACAGCGAGACCAGCTCCCAGCTGAATGAATCCGGTGTACAGCGGCACCTTTTGGTTCAGATCGTTGGCGATAAGGACGGACACGACCAGACCGTAGATACCGATAATACCCGCCATGACAATGGGGACGATGTCTGTTATCACAGTCGTTAGTGGCTCAGTTCCAAGTATAGACTGCAGAAGCCTGGTTTCTCCTCCACAGCTGCAGCGAAAGTTGAAAAGGGCTTCCAACGTACTCTTGACGATCAGATCGGGTCTGAGGACGGCCATGCCGCAGACACCGACACCGGCCTTGGCAGTTCCATAGGCAGCTCCGAAGCAGGTGAAGACGATGGCTGAGGTGCAACCCAGCGCACCGAAGAAGGGCTAATGGGCGGCAGTTAGCTATTTGTACGAGGGGGTCTTCGTTTCGTGCAAGGTGACGTTGCTCCATTCGTGGAGGACCCGACGGTCCCCCGTCGAGCTTCAGCACATGATCGATGAGGGGTGCTAGTCAACTCACAGCATAGACAGGGCTATAGCCATACAAATTAGCACAGTCCGCAACAAGGCACTGATGGGTAGGGTTGATAGCTTATCGCACAAGCTATGCGTTGGGATGTTGGGAAAAGGAGTGAACCAGGGTGATTACGTACCAAAGTTCGGTGGCCATTTTGTTGGTCTAGATGGCTGTTTGGAGTTTGACAGATGCGGAGAAGCTATAGAAACAGCCGAGAAAAGTGAAAGTAGGGTAGAAGAAGGCCGCGTCGACAGCGATGAGATGAGGCGAAGGCGTGGGAGAGCTGAGACGGAGATGGAGGCTTGGAAGGCGAACACGCTGGTTGCTTCGGAGAGGTTCACCGACCACCTGCGCTACCACGTGACCTGCGGCTTGGCGCCTTCCCGCATTGCCCCAACCACTGACATCAGCACTGGATGGACCTAACTATCCGCGATCACTACGAAGTACTATGCTGCATTCATTATACCACAGTTCGTCAATACAATATTTTACATGACTAGCAACCATTCTATATGATTCGATCATCAATTCAGCTCTAATGCCACCCGACATCCTGGAATGTCGAACTTCGAGCTCGATTCGTGCACTTCCCCAGTTGACTCTTTCCCAGCCATGGGTTGCACGTAGGTTATAGCTTTCTCCGACAGCCCACCAAAGTAGCCAGGAACTACCCGAAGGTCTTTCTGTTCACCAGATTCCCTTTGCAAAGGAACAGTCTCGGAGTCCGAGAGAACGCCGAAATGGAAGGCATTGCCTCCAGTCCGAGATGCCGGCCAATCTGGATGACTAGGTTCAACGGAAACGAAGAATTGGACGTAGTCGCCAGGCCCTGCAGCCTGCGAGAGAGTGGAAAGATCCTCGCCGAAGCCGCGCATCTCGAATGGCGGCGGCGGAGGCGGCGGCGGTGAATTGGTCGAGACTCCCGCATCGCCCGCAGTAAAGAGTCCCTCGAACCCCAGTAGCCTGTCTTTCTGGGTTGATTCCATGAATGTTGTTTCAGGGTCTAATGATAGGAGGCCCTGTTTCTTGCCCCATCCTCCTCCGCCACTCATCACTCGGTGGAGTTTACCGCCCTTCCGGATCGCCTCGATAAGGCTTTCTTGAGAAGCCTCCTTGCCTGCCGCGTAGCCCTTCTCGGACGTCTCAATTAAAGCCCAAACGGAGACCCTTTGGTCAGTGATGTTGTGTTCGGCAATGTAGCGAGGGAGGTCCTTCTCCAGCTCCAAGGAAGCTGGCATGGGATCTTGGGAGTGTTTATCTGTATGTCTGGACAATTGACGGAGAATGTTTCCCATACTGGAAATGACCCTCCTTCGTTGCCCGACGGGGTACAATGGAAGCTCGAAAGAGTCGCTAACGTTCGCTGCTGGTGAAGTGACAATGCAGTTCGACAAGTCCAGCGCACGGTCGAGTGTATATCTCTTTGCAGCAGTATTGTAGATCCAACGGGCTCCAAAGAGAGTATTCTCCTTTCCATTGATGAAGATCGTATTTGCAAGTCGCAGGCCTACTTCATGGATGGACTTCTTAAATCCTCCATTCGATGCCTGAGTATCGCTTGTCGGAATTGAGAATACTAGTCCTGAATCTGTGGCCTCCATGCTTCGTGTCCGGCGAGGCGCAGCGAGCTGACCTTGTACATTGTCCCGATTTACTAACAGCACCGATATCCCGTCGGCTTCCTGGGCGCAGGGGCTCACCCCATTCTGTAGTGCGTGTGGTCGAGTATCAGGAAGCTTATCGACAATTGCGAAGATAGAATGCACAGGATCGGTGGACCCTGAGAAGTAGTGACTCATCCATTGTTCAGGGAATGTGTGAGACGACAAGTCGATCCATGATGCGAAAGCGGAGGTCACGAGAAAGATAGGAACATCATCGGATCGTGGTGGAGATTCGGGGTAAGAAGGCGCACTCGAAATGATATCGTCTAGGGTCTGTGGAGAGGTCAATTTATACCCAGAGGACAGGAAATAGTAACGCACAATCGCGCCTGGAGTCTGCGTGAGCCAAGTATAGGCTATGGGACGGGCACTGGAAGCCGTGGTTGCGACCGACCTTCGAATAATGAAAGGGATGCGCCGATCTGTATGGCGACGACAAGCCAGCCGTGCTGGCAATGAGCGCGGGGCGGACCCAAACATTAGTGACATAGGAGTAACATGAATACCTCAATCGAAATTGAGATTTTTCGACCAGCTACAAGTCAGGAGCGTTGCAAATTGAGTGTCATCATGGCCCGGAAATGCGGAGGGAGCGGCGGATTTTTGGACGCTCACCGCCTAGGGACACGGTCTAGATTACAGAGTACTGTAGGTAAGGTAAGTTACTGATCCTGCCTCTCGATGGGAACTCGTCTTCATTGCACCTCTTGGCTCGAAACGTAACCATAACATACTGATTTTGTGGACCATCGTAGGCTGTCCTATACTTACAGTGGTGGAGATTAGCGACAATCCTGTCATGGCCCACGCCACATACTGTCACGCACATACCAGCAGTCCTGTCAACGATCAAGCAGCTCAAGAAACCTGCCATCCCCGGTAGGATTATGCTTGGCATAATGCGAGGCCGGTGTCTATTGCACCCTTCAATCAGGACTTTTATGCATGGTAATATCCAAAAACCGTGCGCGATTGATTGTGTAGATCAAGCATGGGGCACTTCAACAAGGGTGTTGGAGACGCAGAAAGCTTGTTTCGTTCGATTTGCATAACCGGGGGTGGCTATGACATCATTCATCATTGATGATTCTGGAAGGATTCTTCATCATGTCTAGACACACGGATGACTAAATGGCAGATATGGTGTAGATCGATGCAGAGGGGGGCGTTCTTCTCTGCAACCTTCGGGCCTTGCGGCTGGATGCGACTGATGTCTCTGGATATGCAAGATGACCAGGGAGAGGGGATGCGCGGCTGCGGCCAGGTTCGAAGCAGACGTGGAAGTGTGCTACCTACGGATTGTTATAGCTTGTTGCCAACCTATTCAATCGAGAACATCTCGTGCAGTCGCCTGGCCATATGCACCAATGCATGGATAGCACAAGGCGATTGGCTTTCCAGGGGAGCGATGTCTTCTGGAACTCCGGAACTCAACGATAACCGGCTCCGATTGTTCTCAGGTACAAGCAAAGTTTGTGGTTGCATGGTAGTGATAGTATCAATCTGGCTAATCATAAGCTATTCCCATCTGCCCTATAGGAAGCATGCAATCAGAATGTAGCCAGCACGTTCTCAAGGCCTACCGATCCCAAAGTGACGATGGACTTGTGGTCTATGATTACTCATTGGCACAAATATGAGTATTGTCTTTTTGATGGTATCAGAAGCATAAAGATACGTGGGAATGACGTTTCAAGATGTTCAAAGGAATGTGGCTTAGGTGACGCGTGTTGGAAGATAAGATGCATGTGAAATGATTTCACTTCTGTTCCTCCTAGAATAGATCTACACAAATACTCGATGGATATGATTAGTGCACGGAGTAGAAGAAGGCAAACATAGCCCACAGCAAAGCCACACTGCTATGTACGAGTACAGTACATGTAAAGCAATGATGACGGGTGGACCATTGACCGACAGCTCATGCGAGTGTAATTGTTTTGCTATATTCTCCATTCTCCAGTCATGATTCGTGTGCAGGGTGGTTCATAGGGCTGTCGGGCCCACTCGGTACTTGGTTTGCTGGACCCCGGTCTCAGCGAGGATTTGGAAGTACTCTTAAGCGTAACTACGTACTATTATCAAAGCTCCAGCATGAGGAAGAGTAATTCTACAGATGAACTCACCTTCGAATTAGCCTATAAGGTATTGCGCAGCGTTTTTCGCTCAGTTGCGCCGAGCTTGAGTTCCTCAGCCGACCGCCGATGGCGAAAGGAAAGTCGGATATGCCAAGCGTTTTCCAGGCAACAAAATTAGAGATCTAAATAAAACAAAAAAAGTTTACGGGAAAAAGGAACAGAAGGTTTTATTTGTAGGGGACACAAATCGTGAAGACCCGCGGTTCGGTATGGGGTAGGTTCACAATTAGCAATCAGCGAATTAGTTAGCCAGGCGTTAGCAGGCTGAGAAGAGAACCCCTTACTGAGCGAGGATCTTGCGACTACCGGGTGACATTCATGATGGTAACCTAATCAACCCTCCAACAGTGTACTCAGTGCACTTCGACGTCGATACGACGCAAAAGTCTACCACCATCGATCCTTGGATGGACTGACGCTGCAAATGCTCACCTGAAGCGTCGAGGCCAATCAGTAACGGGTGTTCGCATCAGCCACAGCAGGCTGAGCAAGTATGACGTAGCATGCATCCCACGAAGCCGTCATACCGAGAAGATCATCTCATCGGCATGGCATGAACGAAGGTTTGGATCTTGGCGGAGTACACTGGCTATGGCTATGGGCTATGTACTGTCAATACTAGTACTGTGTACGGAGTCGCCAATTTGTCTATTAGCCAGGAATAGGCATTAGATCAATAGTTGGTCTAGTAGTAGGTACCGTGACGCCCTACGCCCTGCTCCCGAAGTGGTCGGTGCAGAGCCAGCGGGCAGTTGCTTTGCCCACCCAGAATTTAAAAGACTCCTGTGGTCCCGCTCCTTCCTTCTCCCTTCTCTTCTTGCTCTTCTTCTCTTCTCAACTTCTCTCAAATCTTTCTTCACCTCTTGAGACTCTTCATTCGCATCAAGCCTCCAGAAACCAACGTTCCACCGTTATCGATAACTGTTCCAAGACAGTCACTCCACCCTCCCATTCACCATGCCTTTCACTGCTTCGTAAGTCACTTCCACCCGCAATGACCCTTTTCAGTGACCAGGTAGCTTGCCAGCGGTCTGGACTTTTTATGATGCAGTTCAGCCCAGGCAGCTTCCATTGGACTTTACCCGACAAACAAAGAAACACCGCTAACACAGGTCTTTTTTCTGGACAGTGACGTCTGCAAGATCATCTTTGCGATCATCCTGCCTCCTCTGGGAGTTTTCCTCGAGCGCGGATGCGGTGCTGATCTGCTGATCAACATCTGTTTGACAATCCTGGGTTGGCTCCCTGGTATTATCCACGCGCTGTACGTTGCCTTTCCCATCACTAGTTGAGTTGCTGGGAACGCCATTGCTAACTAGCGTCTGCAGTTACATCATCTTCAAATACTAGTTAGACCGCCTGCTTGTTCATCGCCCGATCACCCGGTTCAGTCGACCAGCATTCTTCGTCCCACGATTGTATCCCCCATCAATTGGCAGTCAACATTCCAAACTGAACGGGGGGAGTGTTGTCCGTGATGTTGTCAGCTTTTAATTGTTCCGCGGGCTTCCGACCGGCTCTAGCCTAATTTGACCCCGCCAATTAACCTACCGTCTGCTCCTGCGCTTTACTGGATCCTCGAGCTACGCGGGTGGAGATGCCATGTCAAAACACTATGGCGATGGGGTCGGATCTCTCCCATCTTCTTTCTCCCTATGTCTCTGATGTCCGTTTCCTCTGTCGCAGATCTGTTGTTTTTTTTTTCTCTTTTCTTTTTTTTTTCTTTTCGATGATACCAGCTCATTGTGATACTGGGCTTTGCTTGTACTGTTGGCAATGATCAGCTTCTAATGATTAATGGCAATAATTCAAATTACTTTTGAAAATCCATCGTTCCCCGCATATGTGTATCTGGGTGCACATTAAGGTAGCTGATTGGAAGATAGAGTGGCCTTCTTATTCCCAGACTACACCTAGGCGACGATTGATGGACAGTGGTGAACAGAGACAAAAAGTTGGAGAGACACAACCTCTAAATGAATCAATATATTCAGGCACAAATCAGCGTTCAAAGGTAAAGAAAAAAGACATTTGTTCAACTAATGCTTCATCGTGAGACCAGTCCAGGGAGCAGTACATAGACCCTGAATATTCAAGTCAGCTGACCTGACATCATCCTTCAGTACACTCTGCAGCATCGGCGCTAACACGGCGCGTATCGCATCAACATCACTCTCTCTGCCAGCCCCGCATCCATTCAAAAGCGCTAATCATGCTGAAGAAATCCCATCGGTTGACTACGTGTAGTGCATCTATGACAGAATCACCATGTTTCACACAAGCGCCTACAGGGGGCGCAGTCTCATTGTTACCGTCTCACATTATGGCCTTGTTGCTTTGCAGCCACTCGGCGCCATAATGAGATCCCGTGTCTCCTTTGACGCCCACAATGACAAGGCGATGGCAAAATGTGGAACACGCGGGTCTCTAATCTCTGAAATGGGACGGTTACCCCCTTGACGCTGCCGACCTCCACAGAATCAGTTTATCATGTTCTTTCACTCGAGCCGGTGCTAGAAATCTGTTTGTTTGTTCGAGCACTGCATGCCTCTTTTGCCAGTGTCTTTGTCTCAATCTTTCAGTAGAATGGTATCACGTTTCCACTAATGGTTGTGGAGGCAGATGAACCTCTGCAGTGTCCAGATTGATGTAAGAAAGCTTGCTTTCTAATGGCATCATGGAAACATGAAATCAACATGCTAACCTAAATTCTAGGTTGACACAAAATGTTATTGTCTCTTTCTCAATGGCTACTCATCGCAGCACTATCACTTCTTCCATGTCTCGCTTCTACATCGCAATCTTCTTATCCTACCGCGACAGCGTCGTCTTTTCCCAGTCTAATACCCAAATGTGCTCGAGAGTGTGTTGACGAATTCGTAATCTCCGACTATCCGGATGATGCGTGTGGAAAAACATGGAATCTCGACTGTTTATGTCGGACGAATACAACCAGTGGCTATACCTTGGGCGAGGCTGCGTTCCGATGCAGTCTGTCGCTGTGTCCCATCAAGACCATCTTCTCCTCCGACCTCTACGACATTTGCGACTCAGTGGCCGGAGCATTGCCGCGGACCCATGCCACAATAACAGCTACAATCACGTCGACCCAGAGTACAACTGCGATAGTCACCACTTCCTCTGAGCCTCACAGTGTCGTCTCTACGGTATCATCTACCTCACTACCTTCTCAAACTCAAACTAGAACCCAGCATACTACTTCTGCCCTTATCACCTCATTCGACAGTCCGACCACTATATCTAATACGATTTATTCGACAAGTGGCACCTGGACTACCTCCAGCAGCACGACCAGTAGTAGCAACAGTACCTCGACCGCTGCTGCCGCCGCCGCTACAACCACCACGCACAGTAAGCTTAGCGCCGGTGCGGTGATTGGCATATCTGTTGCTTCTGGAATGGCGGGATTCTTCCTCATCGGAGTTCTGGTGTTGTTTTGGTACAGGAAGAACAAACGTCGGGATGCAGAGGCTCGAGATAGAAACTTCTTCGAGATTGGCGGAGTCATGGCGGAACCTCCAGAGTTCGCTTTCCCGCCTCGGCGGCCAACGGGACCCAGGCCTATGCCCGGCGGCGTGGACAGAGACTCGGAAACGTCACGCTTGATAACTCCCTTCGAACCAAGGCTTCATAATCCAACTTTTGTTGCAGATACACCACGGCATCGGTATGACGGGGATTCCACGAGATTTCATAGTCCCCACAACATCGGTTTCGCCATATCTTCTAACTCTGATGCGGAAGCATCATTAGCGCATTCTACTCCACGGACTCTCTCGAGCTTGCTCCCGGAAAAGCCAACATACGGGCTGTATCCGGAGCCACTAAGATGGAGTCGGCAGAAACGGCCCGGCAGTGTGGGAACACTGTTCGAGGAGGATGTCACCAAGCCACGCAGCTTCCTTGCCAGTCCTCGGTTAAACCAAGGTCCATCTACTTGGTCACGCAAACCGCAACTCGACCGGCCTCATAAAAGACCTCCAGCGGCCGGCCTACCCGCCCATCCACGCGCTATGTTGCATGGGTTCCGAGAAGGCCAAGAAGGGAAGCTTGCTCTGAGAGGACCAAATCGGTACCAAGGACCGGGATATGGAAGCCCTGCGGAGACAGCCTCCCCCTCGAACAATGTCGTTGGTGGCTCGGCCCATCCTTCCCCAAGGTTGAGTCACGAAGATTATGCCGATGCATACTGGACAGATCGTGATGCTGGTCACACAAGGCCTGCTAGGACGTCACCATATCTCGATGACAGCCCCGGGGGAGGCCGGCGTTTGATCTACGACACAGACCCAATTCCTTATCACACATATGGCGAAGGACCCCAACCCTCCCGACGCGAATCACGCCATTCAGGAAGTCTGCGGCCCCTCACTCCGGTGCGAGAAATCAGGACCCCGAACCTCGAGATTCCCAACTGGCAATACGAGACTCCGACCGGCAGCCGGATCCCTGTCGGCCTCCCACGCATGCCGAACTCGAGGTCCATCAGCCCTGCGCAAGAAATCGTTTCCCGGCCCCGGATTGTGCGACAGGATGATATTCGGAGGGTGCAGATTCGCCGGGTCACGCCCGAGCCCGATGAGGAGCCGACAGCGGGGACCTATGCGCCCCGTGGTCCCTGGCATGAGGAGGATGGTTATGGTTCGCGATACGGAGCCCAAGCACGCAGGACGTCCTTCGACTCCGTTTCGTCCGCCGACAGTCTGAGGAGGCCGCCTGTTCCGAGGAAGCCGGTGCCAATGGAGCAGCGCAACCTGACACCTTCGAGGCAGGGCTCGGATCTCATCCTCCGGGTAGATTGAGCGGGCTTACTGCTCGCTTAGCTCGCTCTGGGTAGTGAGTGGGCCGGTCTTTCCTTCTTCAGGGATATCGCTCTTTTTGGTTTCTTCCTGGAGAAGATGTCCTTCTTGTTTTTTGGTGTATTATAAACAATTCGATCTATGCATATATTTTTATATATATCGGGATATTGTCGGAACTGCGGAGATGTTTTCAAAGGGTGCGGTCATTGTGTATAAAGTGTTTGTTAGGCGGGCAGGGGAATGGGTTCAATAAGATGCATTTTGAGAGCTTGTATCCAGTTTCATATAACCGTATAAAGTTCTTTGGGTCTACATATCAGAGTACAGAGCATTTTGCAAAATCAGCTTGATAAATGGTTGTGTGCGTATACCTAAGATAGATGGCATTCCTCGCTGTAGATCTTTGTCCTGACTCTACGACCGCATGAGTTTGTCGGGGGTTTTCTTTCCGGTCGGCAAGATTCAGATTTCACAAAGGCCCGGCCTCACTTGAGTGGGTTATCGTTCTTTTTACTCTATCCCAGTTTGATGATGCTTTTCGAGTGGGGAGCTGAGAATTTCTTTGAGGAAGCGGATGTTTGGGGAATACGTGCCAGGTTGATAAAGACAGGCGGGGTTAGCCTGGAAGGTTTATATAAGGATTGACGGAAGCAGTCTCGTGCGCGCTTTATCTTCCTTCTCGCAACCCTAGACACAGGCCTACTGAGTTATCTTAGAAGACCTGGCAAAAATGAAGACTGAATCACCACCACCACCACCACCACCCCCCGCCGCCGCCGACCCAGTGCCCCCAGAGGAGATGGAGATGATGGATTGTGATCCGGCGATGTGGTCTGGGCCAGTTCCGGAGCCACCGGAGCTGGCCATCATCAATCTCCTCAATGAGGCGGGGGTGCCCTGTGTGCTTGTTGGAGAGCTGGCGCTTCGAGCCTACGGCTTGAGTCTTTATCCGAAGAGCATAGATCTGGTCGTCGCGGACGAGAACGCTCGGCGTGTCGAGGAGCTCCTTGAGGGCCGGGGGCTCGCATTGTGTTTCGATCGCAGGTGCTCCCTCTGGAACGAGGGCGACAAATACTTCCTCTCGGAACTACACTGCCACCTCACTGCTCCCAACAACATCAAGGAGAGTATTAGGGGGTGGAAGAACGGCCTGTTACACATCTGGGCGAAATCTTTGCTCCTGGAGAAGTTGCCGAATGGCATCCCCCTCCCGAGCAACATCGCCGCCCACGACCAGAACTTCATGCTGACCTCCGATCCCCGCCTCCCCGAGCTGGCCCTCGACCTGCTGGGCGGGATACCCACTCGGTGGATCGGCCGTTGGGCGGCGGGAGTCGTGATCCTGACGCCCAAGGCCTTCCTGGAGCAGATGTTCTGGCACGTGCTCCGGGATTTCCGTCCTTACGACGCCAAGTTCAAGAGTCCCTGGGAGGTGCACATGTGCAGGTTCGCGCTCTGGATTGCGAGCC